GAAAAGACTGAAAAGCTGAAGCCATTTTCTTAGGGTAAAAAAAGGTAGAATGACTACAAATGAACTTTCAAGTCAAAGTCATCCAGGGGATCCCCTCATCAGGAGGACTGAGGGGAAGAATGGGAGTAAAGCATCAACACAGTTACAGCTCAGAGTCAGGATGGCAAGGTTAAAATGACTGATGACCAAATAGGCATACTGAAGGACATGATGCAAAGTCTTGGAAGTAAATACAGAAATATTGCTTAAATTACTGAAAACTTGTTTTTAAAGCAACACAGATCAAAATCTTTAGATAACATGCTATAGGCTCTATAATGAATTCTGCGCATGTACAGCCTAAGCAAATGGTTTCCAAAGCATAAGTGAGCTTGTCTACTTTGGACATGAGTTGCTGCCTCAGTAGCAGTAGCAGCTCAGTTTGCCCTCAGTACTGTTGTCACTTCTGTACATATATCAATATTAGCCTGTTTAAGGAATAACATAAGGGATTTCCATTCTCTTTTTGCAAGATGTTGATACCCACAAAGGAGTCCTGAGGTTGGAGGACTCAAATGGAGAAGACCATGTTTCATTTCTAACAGACGTGGAAGATTTTTCGCTCAAGATTAGTTGTGTGCTTACTCTTTATTCTTCTGCAAGGGGCTGGAAAAATGGTTCTTCATTCGCAAAGATGAGCTTCGTGGGTTAACACATTTAGAAGCTTGAACACTGCTCACTCATACTAATCCTGTCAGCTACAAGAAGAGGTCAATAGAATTTCTTGATGCAGTGTCTCAACGGAGATGGGAATAAAATCAGATCTAAGTAAAGAGGGATTTGAGGCTCTCTCCAGTAGTACCTCTGAAACGTCTTCAAGAGATAGACCACTGTCAGTTCCTAAATTCATTGAGGACTGTCATGTTCTTATCAAATTTATAAATGAGTATAGTATAAAGGCTAATTTTTAATACAATATTGTGGACTGATTATATTAATGCAATCATCTGGTGATCATCTGCTTCAGATTGTTTGTGGTAATGAAAGCAGTAAGAAACAACTGGTCATTTTTGTATTTGTTCTTTAGTATGTATCACACTGCACACTTAGCCCAAACTTTAACTAAGGTGGTTGTTGCAAGAAAGGGAGAACATTTTTCAAAGAAAGCTTTTCAAGCACACCAGGTAGTGATCCAGTTGAAAAACTTCCCATTTGTCATCGTTCCTATGATGTCAGAATGCTAGTGAGGATTCTCTTGTTACAGTAATTTCACAGTCGAAGATAATCACCTTATCTTTTAATGCATATTGAGACTGTGTATTTGCCAGTCTGCCAGTCTGTCCTCTCTCTCTCTCTCTCTCTCTCTCTCTGTGTATTTAGAGAGAGGACAAACTCAGATGCTCTTTAGTCCACTAAAGTAGGATGAAATATTTTTTGTTTCTTCCATCATATTTCATGCTGGAATGAGTGTTTAGTACAGAGTTGCTTCCTCAAAAAATACTTACAGCATCTTAATTGTATTTTAAATCTGCAGGTTGTTATCTGCTATTTTAAGAGTGTCAGAAGTAGAATCTCGAGCAATAAGGGCAAATCTCACACACCTTCTGAGCCCCCAGATGGGCAAAGATATTGTATGGTTCCTCAAGCGCTGGGCAAAGACATACCTCTTAGTCGACGAAAAGCTGTATGATCAGGTAAGGATATAACTGTATGAATGAACTGGTATTAGTGGTAATGTTATCCTATGAATGCAGATGTCAGTGTAGCTATTTTAAGCTTCAATTATAAAGTATTTTTAATATGAAATGTGTTTTGGTTTATTTTGGAATTTGTATGAAAGTGCATGTTCTCTTCTTATTTTCTTTTTTCTTTTTTTTTTCTTTTAAGTAGAAATGTAACTTGTTGGGGACCCTACTTGTACATCTTGGTGTAGACGTGATTTTTGTGGCCATTGGCCTAGCAAAATGGCTTAGCATTCTCCTAGGCTGTTTAGTGGGTAAAACTCACCCACCACAGCAATTTTATAAGCTACTTCTCACTGTCTATCAGATCTTACAGTTCATCTCTAGTACAGTGGTCGTTCTTGATGGATGATGATGGTTAGTCAATAATCTGGTCGTGGTTTTGAACTGAGTATTTAACACTATTGCAAGGAGGTGTATATTAGCTAATGTCATGCTCCTTTCTCTCCTCCCCCCATTTTCTTATAGTCTCATTGTGTATTAGCGTGACTTGTGTTATGCGTTCTTTGTAAGGAGCAACTTTTTTGTGTGTTTGGACAGCACTAACAAGTGCCTTGATCCTGATTTTGCTTATAGAACTAACTATAATCCATCTAGCTAACAGAGGCCACTCGTCCTCAGGAGGTCATGCAGACTCTTAACTTTTGAGAAAGAAGCCTCCTCCCGTTTGTTTCTACTGCTGAAGTGACTAAGAATACTAACGCTTCAGGAGGCCTTTCCTTAAGAAAATTGAGGCTATCAAAGGCTTGTGATTACTTTGAAACATGTTACTCAGCTTCTACTTACAGCAGAGCAAAGAATTTGTAAAGGTACCAGTTGGGGAAGAACTGGAGAGCATTTAAGAGAGAGCATGAGAAACAATGCAAAGCGACAAAACAGAGTATCTAGGCAATGTATACATTTAACTTGTGTTTAGCGATGGCATGTGAATATGACTGGACACCTCTATTTAAATCTTATGCTCAGTCATGAAAATATTACGAGTTTAAAGTTAGGGATGTTTGTGGTGTGCTGACATGGAGCCTCTGCACAATTATTAAAAATCCTTGGGTTTCACTCTTAAGAAACTTTTTTTAAAGAGAGGAGAACATTAAGTTTCAAGGAAACATTTTAAATGTCAGGACCGGAATGTGCCATCTTTCCAAAAAGATACGTGGATTGAAGGAACAATTCAGAAAGCAGATGCAGAACAAATTCTCTGTGATGAAAATAAATTCTCACAAGATGGACCTTGGAGATTAAGAGCTAGTTTTAGTTCTAATAATTTTTATTATTTAATTTTGAAGAATTTCTTCTTCTTCATAAATCCATGGAAGCACTTTTGAGAGATGAAGTTGGGATCTTGAAAGTTTAAAAGCTGTAATAATTAAATTAGTATTAAAAGCTAGACATACAGAAACTACTCAAACCTGATTTTATAATGACATTTAAGCTCTTCTTTCTCGAGTGTTGTGCTTAAAATTGAAAGATAAGCTTGGCAAAGATTTCTATTCCAGGTATTCTTTGCCTTTGTCTGTGTAACTTTTGTGTATTTTAAGTAGAGAAGTGAGAGCCTGAAAAGAATTTGCTGACTGATTACCATACACTTGAGTTCTTTTGTAAAACTCACTCATTTTAATGCTTTTCTTATAGATAAGTCTGCCATTTAGTACAGCATTTGGTGCTGATACAGAGGGTTCCCAGTGGATTGTGGGTTACCTTTTAGAAAAAGTGATCAGTAACCTGGCAGTGTGGAGTTCAGAGCAGGACCTTGCAAATGATACTGTACAACTGCTAGTAACGTTAGTGGAAAGGAGAGAGCGGTAAGTTGCTATTCCTCTGGAAGTCAAAAAATTTCTTTTGCTTCCTTTAAAATTTTTTGGCCAAAGTAATCGAGATACGGGGCATTTCCTATTCATGTCTCTGAGTCAAATGACTTTAGTAACATGCTGTAACTGGGGGAAAAAAAATGGTGTGACAAAGTGAGGAGTGAGACCTAGAGCTGACAAAACGTAACGTAATTTGTATTATTGTTTAGAAGTGCACTCTCCTTCCCTACCTCGGTGCCTCACTCTTAAGTAGTGAGGAAGGAACACTCTCCTGGTCTCCGCTCTTATTATGAGGATTTTTGTGTTGTTGTTTATATGTGCTGAACAAGTTGTTCAAGATGGAAAGGTCAAAAACCAGCACAAGCCAGTATAAAATTTGTTTTGTAAATGTTTGAAACAATCTAGAATGTGGCAGATTTAGACAAATTTCAAAGTTTTCTTTGGTATTAGAAATTGTGAAGCAGGAAATTCTTGAATGTTTTACTTTTGTGAATTGACATGCAATTAAAAATGTAAACATGGATGCTTGAGGGATTTTCATAAGAGAAAAAAATTAGTTTCTGAAACCCACAGGAGCTACTTCAGGAATAAACTGCTTCCTTTATCATGACTAAGCTTTTAATCCATGTAATATGTCTATTAGCTGTGTGTTTATATGTGGATAAAACTAGAGTAATTCCCTTTTCTCCCAAATGAATTGAGCCATTGTCTGAGTATATATTTTAGAAGTCTTGGAGGTAAGGCATTAATCAGACAAAAGTCAGAGGATGATATAGACTTAGAGTAAAGGAATTAAAATTGACAACTGCTATCAGCCTGATGTCTGTTCATAAAAATTTTGTGAAGTCTTTTCTTTAATGAAACCTTTTCTTTTCTTTTCTTTTCTTTTCTTTTCTTTTCTTTTCTTTTCTTTTCTTTTCTTTTCTTTTCTAACCTCCCTTCTAGGGCAAACTTAGTTATTCAGTGTGAAAACTGGTGGAATTTAGCTAAACAGTTTGCAAGGCGAAGTCCTCCTCTTCACTATTTGTCCAGCTCTGTGCAAAGAACACTAATGAAAGCTTTAGTTTTAGGAGGTTTTGCTCATATGGACACAGAAACAAAACAACAATACTGGACAGAGGTAAGCTATTTAATGCTTCTGCTACGTTCATTTTAGCAAGTAATACAACTGCGGTTTGAAGTCAGTTTAGGGAATTTTACAAAGACACAAAGTCAACTGTTACAGAATCTTTTGATTTTGAACATCTAATACTGATTGTTTTTGTTTGCTTGTTTTATGATTCTTTGGAGGTCAGTAGTTGTATGGCACCAGTGTGCTGCCAAAAATGATATGTAAAATATCGTTACCTGAACAGAAGGAGTCATGAAACAGCTAGTATAGCAGTACATTTGAAAGAGGCTATTATAAAAGTTTAAGATTTTTCCTTAGATCTGTCTCATTTCTTCCCTTTGTTTTGGTTTGGAGATGTTATAAATGATTCAGGCTTAATGATAACGCCAGTAAGTCTAAAAACAAACAACCCACCCCACCCCCAAGCTCACGTGGAGAATAATGAAGCCCCTTGACCAGCTTTTTCATTCCTTGATGCCTTTAAAGCTCAGATACCTATTAGCAGGAAGGCTGATGCTAGAAAGTGGCTGAAATGTGGTCAGGAAGCATCACGTACATTTATAAAGCATTGGCTGCCTGAGAGAAAATTAGTCACTTCTATTAGCAGAAGTGTGAAATGAGTGATTGAAGGTAAGATCATAAGTGCTGGAAGTAATTGGGAGAAGCATTTAATTATTTTATGGAAATTCCTAAATTAGTTCAGATTGCAAGCACAATCACATAGGCTGGTTAGTAGTGAAAAGTTATAAATATGAGAGAGATTGCACTACAGAGAATCATAACATGACAAAGATTATTGTGAACATGAATCTTAATGTTTTCATTGATGACCTGTAACAATTTTTTGGTTGGTAGCACTGAATTTGGAAGATAATCAAATAGTGTGAGTTAGGGAAAGTCATTGTCATTTGTGTAAATACTTCATGTTATTTTGTAGTGTTTATGTAGGTACGGATTTTTGACACCAACCTGCCAGTGATGATGATTAGCAAGAAACATTAATCACTAGCCCTTTCAGTTTACAGTAATGAGATACAAAGTAACGTAATTGCGCCCATGCAAACTGGAAGTGATTGAGTCTTGTGCTTTTGTGCCAAAGGCAACTTATGAGCTTGCTAAATTACTGAAAGCTCAAATCTCATTCATGTAATAATATGCTTATCTCAGTGTGACTTGTCTAATTTTTTTAAGGTTCTTCAGCCACTTCAGCAGCGATTCTTGAATGTGATAAACCAAGAAAACTTTCAGCAGATCTGTCAAGAGGAAGAAGTGAAACAGGAAATCACTGCTACATTAGAAGCACTCTGTGGCATTGCTGAGGCTACCCAGATTGATAATGTAGCAATTCTCTTTAATTTCCTAATGGACTTCCTTAATAATTGCATTGGGTTAATGGAAGTATACAAAAACACACCAGAGACTGTTAATCTCATAATAGAAGTCTTTGTTGAAGTTGCACATAAACAAATTTGCTATCTTGGAGAGGTAAATATAACCAAAAGGAGGAGGAAGGGAAGAGTGAGTGTGTGGGTGGGTGCAGTGCTATCCTTTAAACAAACTGTAGTGATATTTTAGCTTCTATACGGTAAAAAATGCTATATGGGCACATCTGTTAGAGGAATTCCTTTGTTTAAAGACATGCCCTCCTAAGATTAAAAGCAGGATATCTGGATTGTTCTTAGACCAATAAACTTGACCATAATTCATCTCTAGTCTTAACTCTATGCATGGGTAGCAAAAATTGTGGACCTCATTGAGTGCTCAATATGGTTTAACCATATCAAGCTTTTCTGAAGACTTGCTGAGGAGAAGTGCACCACTGTTTTGCGACAAACGCATACCACAGAGAAACTAGCTTGATCCTAAACGTGGTATAACGTATACCAAGAAATTAGCGGGTAAAATGAGTCAGTGCAGTGCACTTTGGTCTTTGCACTGTTGGTGAATTTGCTTTCGCATCTAGAAAAGTTTCTGCCTACTCCAAACTAGGTATGGACTAACAGTAAATTATGGCTCCAAAATTTGACAGCAGAGATGAGTCCTTCAGAGATTTTTGTTGATAATTAATCTTTTTAAGGCTGAGTTGATAAAAGCACATCAATACATGGTTGTAAACGTTCTTATTACGTAAGGTAGCAGTTTCCACGATGATTTTGTGTACAGTTGTTATGAAAAATGGATAGTATAACTGAAATTAAAACTCTGGGGTTATCATTGACCAAGTAACGCCATCATAAAACAAAATATGTCATTCTTAGCGCATAGAGGTTTTCATCTTACTATTTTTTTTTTAATAGGCCAAAGCCATGAACTTGTACGAGGCCTGCCTAACTCTGCTCCAGGTATATTCCAAGAATAATCTAGGTAGACAACGGATAGATGTTACAGCAGAAGAAGACCAGTACCAAGATCTCCTTCTTATTATGGAGCTTCTGACTAATCTTCTGTCTAAAGAATTCATAGATTTCAGTGATACAGGTATGAAGGAACTGGGCACAGATGAACCATAACTTGTGTTCTAAGCATGAAAAACTGTTAAGGAGCTTGTGTTCAATCCAAGTAAAGTGAAAACTGAAGTATAGAGCTGATTGGATCAGGAATTACTATTTAATCTGCTGGACACTTTTCACAGTATGGCCCATCTTTTAGCATTCTGAAATAATTATTGCTCTCATAAAATGAGAATATTTTCTCATAGATGAAACAGCTCGAAATCTGAAGGCTGCAAGTCCGGATGTACAGTAGCAGCGGTTGAATATTTTAAAAATCATAGAGAAGTCAGAACAAGAAATGACTGGAGGAAGAGGGATGGATTATCTTCTCAGGACAGGATCCACATTTTGTGAAATGCTGAGCTATTAAAATTCTGTTGTTTGAAGTTTTTTGTATTCCTCATACACAATACGTGCTTTATGGTATGCAGTTGTGGTTTGGGCTTCTTTTTTGTGTTCCAGCCTACTTTCTTCCATATTGCTGCCACTTAAAATTGCTTTGGTCCTGAATATGATTTGCTAACTGTAACTCAGCCATAGCTTTTGAATAAATTAAAATAGGTTTGCATGATTCACATCTTACCATGTCCTGTGCAGCTGCACAGAAAACATCAGTCTGCCTAGGTTGCTTTGATGTTCTTCACTGCTGCTCTGAGGTGCTTCTTGAAAGAGAGAGAACCTTGTACTCAGATGCAGTGTACCCATCTAGTTTTCTGTCATGTGTGGACAGCACAGCAATGCAGAACCAGATTTAGACTTTGTCCATTGAGTGGACCACTCGACACCATGTAACTTACCCTTTTTCAGGTCAGGCATTGCATGTTAGTTGCATAGAAGACACTTGCCGTGAAACAGGAATGTGAATGCTGCCTAAACATAATACCCAAATGTGAAAGGTACTGAAACTTGTCTGGATGCTATTGTAGACTTAGTGCAGGAATTATAAAAGTAAGGTCACTGCCAGTTGATGAGAAATGTAAGTCTTAGTTTTAAGTGGATAAAACTTTGCAAGTTTTAACATACAGTATTTTTTTTCAGTAACTCCCCCTTTTTTTTTTTCCTTCGTTTTAAATTGTGGTGCAACTGTTGCACACACTTAGTGTCGAAATGCAGTAATATTTTGCTCACTATCTGTTTATGCACGCAGTCATGAAGCAGCTATCACTAGAAACAAGTACAGATTTCTGTAGTGGAAGGGAGTTCTTGAAAGTGTCTTAAGTGTTCTGGTTTAGCATGCCATCTGGTATACGTGGTTATTAAATGAATATAAATACAGAGTGATGTGGCAGCTTCTGCTCACTAAGTTTCTATTTTAATACAGTGCCTCATGTTTTTGTTCGACTGGAAAGAGGGGAATAGTCCTATTTTTAAAAATGTCTTCATTAAAGAAATGCGACTCTTCCTTCAATATGTTTGATCCTCTTTTTATAAAAAACATTTTGACTATTTTGTAGATGAAGTATTTAGAGGACACGAGCCTGGGCAAGCTACAAATAGATCTGTATCGGCAGCAGATGTTGTCTTATATGGTGTTAATCTAGTTCTGCCTCTAATGTCCCAGGATCTGCTGAAGGTAAGTACAGTTATGATAAGTAGTTGCTAGAATATGAAAACACAGTAATAGATTTCCAGAAATGGGTTCTAAATTGCGTTCCACTTCCATAGGTAGAATGGGTTTTCTAGGATTTATTTTAAATGAAAGTGATTGTTCCCAAGTTATAGACACTGTTTAAAAAAGAAGTATGTATTAGATAGAAGTATTTTCTATCAGAAAATGTATTTAAGAAGGGCCTAAACAAAACAAAACTTTTTTCCCCTGTGAGTGAGGATGGATAGACTAACAATGAGTCAAAAGGGAAATGTGATCTGTGGAATCCTTTTTCTGATAGCGTCAAAAATTTGATAGGAAGCATTAACAGTGATCATTAGTCAAAAAAGCGTGGGAGCTGTTGACCTACTGTTTTACTGAGAGTTACTTTATTTTGAGAGTTACTAATTCTATTCTGTAGCTATTGAGTGATACATGGCAGTATCTTTTCAGTAGGAAAATAGTAAATCTTGGATTATTGTTGCATTACTGTAAGCTTTCATATCATCAACATATGCAGTTTGTCAGTAGAACAGTGAAAAGGAAATGACTGAATGGCAGTATCTCACTGGCACCATGTTAATGTTTTATTTGAATTTGGGATCCCTTTTTGAAGTGCATCTCAGTTGTCCCCTCTTAATATGCTTTGGTTCTCATCTGGTACTGCTCACATAGCATGAGAACTGGATCCACTTGAGCTAAAACTACGTCAAAAGATGAGCTCTGGGAGCACCCTTAATGTGCTGCAAAAGCTGATGAAGCTTTCACTCCACAGAACAAGACTTGCCCAGAAGTAAAACTCTACAAGTGTGTTTAGATGCGTACTGGGCTCCCACCACCAACTTTCTCGCTTTGCAAATCTCCTTCTGTTGTACCACATTACTTGCTAATATAGTTGTAACCACTGACCCTGAAGTTGTCTACCATAATTACCTTTTCTTTTTCAGCAGAAGGCATGAGTCCCATCTCTTTGTGCAGCTGGAAATAATGTCTGCATAGAGCTACTTAATTCTAAACTAACTATGTTTTTCTTTTGACAGTTTCCATCCCTGTGTAATCAATATTACAAACTAATCACTTTCATCTGTGAGATATTCCCTGAGAAAATTCCACAGCTTCCAGAGGACCTCTTTAAGAGCCTAATGTACTCACTGGAGTTAGGGATGTCATCGTATCCTTTGTAGAGCTTGGGAGTGTTTAAATATTTAATTTAATTTTTACAAAGACGCATTAGAATTCTGATTTCTTCCTTTGTGTTTTTTTGTTTTCTGTATATTTTTCATGTGCGTTTATAATTATGTATCTATAATCAGCTTTTACTCTCTGTTTTACATTGGTAATTGAGAGTTTTACTGTAGTGTCTTCTGAGATCCTGAGATGATTAGCTGAATTTCCTCTTACTCGTGTTGCTTGAATACAGCATTTAAGTGGTTTAGCGTGTAAGTTTTTTCTGGCAGCCATTCCTGCCTCCTCCATTACTTCACTTCAGAGTGTGTAACTTCATAAGCCTTCAGCTGGTATGGTATCCAAAAGCCATTCCTGAATTAGTTTCTCAGCTGGTAATACAAAACACTGCTGCAGTTCCATTGGGCTGGCTCCAGAGCATTTCCTGTCAGGTTGCCAATGGGCTCTCCCTCTTCTAATGGGAGTACCATTTTCACTAATCTGCGGCACGTGTCAGAAACAGATGAGCTTGACCATAAGGGACTCTTTCTGAAAATGTTATGTCAGAGAGGGTTATATTACCTTAGGGTGTGCAGCTAATAAAGGAAGGCGACAAAGTTGCAATAGAGTCTGCTTTTTTTATTATTATTTTTAGAGCACTGTAGTAAAAAGAAATCTTGGAGCATATAAGAACTTGAAATATTTTTGAATGACAGCCCTGAGAAGTTTTACTACAATTTCAAGCCTGAAGTCTGACTTTGACTCTTTAACGCTTGTTACCAGAATGAGTTCTGAGGTTTGCCAGCTCTGTCTGGAGGCTGTAACACCATTAGCAGAGCAGTGTGCGAAAGCACAAGAAACAGATTCAACCCTCTTTCTAGCAACAAGGCACTTTCTTAAGGTAAGTTATCTAACTATTTCATGTTACTTTGGTTTTTTTGCTTATAGAGTGTCAAGAGGCCAAACGGTGATCACGTTTTACTAGATTAATTGTGGTCATATAAAAATAGTAGGGAATAGTCCCTCACCTGAAGAACTGGCAGGAGAACTTGTAAAGAGAAAGAGAACATGGACTAGACACATTGGCCTAGAGTACAAAGAAGGATAGAAGCACAGAGGGAAGAAATCACATGTCACCAATCAGCGATAAGACCTCTGCTTCTCAGAGTGCAATGTATTTTTCTATGCTCTGTATGGAAGTTCTAGAATGAAGGTGATCAACAATTTCAGCAGTTAAATTTACTGTGAAAGCTGTGAAATAAAGCTGGCAGACTTATGTGAGCTGAAGGCTAGGTAGAGTACTAAAGCAAGAGGCAGGACAAAGAGCATAGTTGGGTACTAGGATAAAAGAAGAAAATGCTGTCATTTATTCAATGTATCCCATAAATTATGCCTCTTCTTAATCCAGTGTCATATTTGGTACTTTCCTTTTAGGACAATCCATTCCACCTTATTGTGAATTTTGGAGTGAACTAATAGCAGCCAGGTTCACGCTAATCAGGAATAGATTTCAGGAAAGATTCGAATTTTGCTTAAGGCATAATATGTTCTTGCCAAACTGACATCCAGACTACTGGGTGACCACTCATTAAGCGTTTATATCAGCTAAGCTGAGAGAATGAGAAAAATGCAAGAGATGCCATTTCTTTCTGAAAACGCATGTAAATCAACAGCAGGTTTCAGTGCTTTGAGATGTGAATTTGTGCCGTTAAGCCAAGACTCTACTTCTAAAAGAACTGAAAGTTTCCAATTACTGGTACTTAAAGTTCAAAAAAACTTGGATAATTTGTAAATACAAGTTCTTCATTATTATCAGAAGCAACGATGGAAGTTCAACAGCTGTTGTTAGTAAAGTAGAAAAGTTAAGCCTACATCTCAGAATTCTTCTGTAACTGCTTTTGTTTTATAATTTCAGATGGTCTTTGATATGCTGGTACTTCAGAAGCACAATACAGAAATGACAACTGCAGCAGGTGAAGCATTCTACACATTAGTGTGTTTGCATCAGGTATGGCATTTAGACACTTGAAAACTACTCGTTTGTTAATGGACAATGGTTATTGTGCATCCAGCTGAAATCATGGGATCATTCTGGTTGGAAGGGACCTCAGGAGGTCTGTAGTCCAACCTCTTGCTCAAATTAGGGTCAACACTGAATTCGGATCAGGTTGCTCAGGGCTTTTTTTTCCAACCTGGTCTTGAAAACCTCCAAGATGGACGTTCCAGAGCCTCTCTGAGCAGCCTGTTGAATGCTTAATTTTCTTCATAAGTCCTGTGCTTCCAGTCCCTGACCATCTCGGTGGCTGGACTCATTCAAGTTCATCAAAATCTTTCTTATGTCAGGGAGCCCCAAACTGGCCACAGTAGTCCATGTGCAGTCTAGCGAGTACTGTGTAAAGAGGAATAATCACTCTTTGATCTACTGGCTGCGTACCTGTAAATACAGCCCAGTATGCTGTTAGGATTCTTTGAGGGTGGGGCACACTGCTGATTCATGTTTAGCTTGCTGTCCAAGGACCCTCAGGTCCTTTTTTCAGTAGGACTACTCCCCAGCCAGTCACTTCCCAGTCTATATTGTTGCAGGGGGTGAGTCTTTTCCAGTTGCAGGACTTTGCGTTTGTCTTTTTTGAATTTCATGAGGTTCATGTCAGCCCATTCCTCCTCCTGTCTAGGTCTCACTGAATGTCAGCCCTGCCCCCGAATGCATCGACTGTAACCCCCACCGGTGTACTTTCATCCACAGATGAAGAGGGTGCATTTCCTCTCTTCTTCCAGGTCACAGATAAGAGTATTGAACAGCATAGGGCCCAGGATAGACCCCTTAGCTCCAGTTAATATATGAACCGTTAACCACAACTGTTTGATCCTGATGATCCAGCCAGTTTCCTGGCTGTACTACCCAGGTAGTAGACCACCCACCTAAATGGGGATGTCCTAGTTTGGTTGCAAAGATGTTATGGAAGACTGTTAAAAGCCTTGCAAAAATCATGGAAGACAACACCCACTGCTCTCCCTTCATCCACAGATGTAGTCATTTCATCACAGAAGACAATCGGGTCGTTTAGGCGTGATTTATCCATGGTAAGCCCATGCTGACTGTTCCAAATTACCTTCTCCTTCCTATGCCCAGAAGTGGCTTCCAGGAAGACTTGCTTCGTGATTTTTCAGGGACTAAAGTGAGGCTGACCAGCCCACGGTTTCCTGTGTTGTCCTTCTTTCCCTTTTTGAAGATGGGTGCAACATTTGCCTTTGTCCAGTGCTGGGGACTTGCCCCAGTGTCCACAATCTTTCAGAGGTGATAGGGTGTGGCCTTGCATTGACATCATCCAGCTTTCTGTACCTTTGGATGTATTGCTTCAGGTCTTGTGGACTTGTATGAGTTGAAATTTCTCAAGAGATCCCTGAGTCAATCCTCTTTACTATAGGTAGTTCCTCTCCTCTTTTGCACTTTATCTCTAGTCACAAAGGCTTGGGAAAATCTGTCGGTGAAGACCGGGGCAAAGAAAGCATTGAATGTCTCAGCCTTATCCGTTTCTGCTGTCACTAAATCACCTGCCCTATTCAGCAACATTTTCCCTTTTTATTCTTTTACTGTTAATATACTGGTAGAAACTCGTCTTGATGTCCCTTGCCTGTTTCAACTTCAGTTGTACTTTGCTTTCCTATTGTCCCTCCTACGTGCCCAGGCAGTGTTTCTGTATTCCTCCTTTGTAGTTTGTCCTTGCTTCTACTTCTTGCATGCATCCTGCTTGTACTGGGGTTCAGTTAAGGTCTCCCTGTTTAGCCAGGCCGGGTTGCCCAATGTGTAGAAGAGCTCCATTCATATCAGCTGCCCTTTCACATAAAGGGCAATCCCCCGTCTCATTCCAAAAGAGCCTCTGTCCATCCATCAGAGCACTCTGGTCATACCAGCTGTCCCACCATGCCGCAGTTATACCAGTGATGTCAGTTCTGTGTCTGCACCTGGAGCTCTAGCTCTTCCTGTTTGTTTCCAAGGCTGTATGCATTTGAGCACAGGCATTTGAGGTTGGCCTCCTTTCGGTCTGTTTTATCCTTCCTGGGTGCTCTCTTGCAGCCATCACCCTGCTCTGTGTTCTTACTACATCTGGTCTGTCTCCCTCACTGAACTGCAAGCTGCTACCATCATCCCCCAACATAGCTAGTTTAAATCGCTTCTCACCAGGTAGGTAAGCCTATTGACAAAGATGTTCTTAAACCACTTTGTCAAATGCATCCTCTCTCTTGTCATCCCTCCAAGAGGGACCCATGGTCATGAAAAACAAAGTGCTCCCTGTGACAGCAGCCACAGGAGTCAACTTCAGGATGTGTCTGCTCCTGCCCAAGCCTTTCCTCTTCAGCAGTAGAACTGAGGGGATTGCAACCTGGTTCTCACATCTTTCACCTTTGTTCCCAGAGTCCAGTAGTAATTCTGGACTTGCTCCACATGTCCCTTGGCAGTGCCATTGGTGGCATGTGGATGAACAACCAGCTCTCCATAATAAGTGCTTCCGTAACAACAGCCCATATCTTGGCCCCCAGCAGTGATTTTAGGTCCCTGTCTCAATCCCCTGGTGCACAGCCTGCCGTAGTCTGTGTAAACACCGTCCTGGGAGCTGTGCTCCTGCCTACCGGCTAAACTGGTGTTCCCCACAGCGACCAAGCAGGAGCCTGTTACTCCCTAAACAGCAGCAAGTTTGCCATTGTTCTCAGAACCCTCAACGTTTCTCTTTCACTGTCTCTTTAGCCACGTTTAACATGTTTCTTCTTCTCTACTTCTGTCCAAGTGAGCGTGAGAAATCCTTAGGTGCAATATCTCTCTATCCCAGGGTAAGGAATCTAGACAAGGGAAAATTGGGGGGTGCAAATGGTTGTTAAGGCACACACAATGTGGGACAGGAAGGAGGGAAGAAGTGCAGTTTATAGAAATGAGCCTGTGCTATGGAAGAGCTGGAAAGCACACTGAAGAGAGTGCCAAAAGCTATCTTTTTCCTCTGCATTGCAAAGCATGGTGCCTAGCTCTACAGGCTTCTTCAGCTTTTCTAAAGAAACTAGTCTGGTTGAAAGGCTTTCTCTGGCTTAGAAGAGGTGAAGGGCTACAGGCCCATGTGCACTTCTGGTACGCTAGTGGGTCAATCTGGATTATGGGTGGAGAAACGCTAACAGTTCTCGGGCACAGCCTTGATTCTGGATTTTGTCCTGGTGAGAGAAGTTGTATACGTTGGATTTTTTTTTGAGTTAATAAGACCGTTGTCTGTTCAACAGGCTGAATATTCAGAACTAGTGGAAACATTGCTATCAACTCAACAAGATCCAGTAATTTACCAGCGATTAGCAGATGCCTTCAACAAGCTTACTGCAAGCAGCACTCCTCCTACACTGGACCGTAAGCAGAAGATGGCCTTCTTAAAGAGTTTAGAAGAATTTATGGCAAATGTTGGTGGACTTCTCTGTGTAAAATAAACAACAAAACTCTATGCCTACTTTAGACCCTTTCTGCAAAATGCACTGAGAAATGCTGAATGCTGACTAAATCTTGTACCTGTCTCCGGGTTCTTTGCAGCCATCTCAGATTTTAGAGAGCCTGGAAGTTTGAACATAACACAGTGGAACAGGAGAGGTCAACTTTGAATCAGCTTCTGCTATTATGTGTTAGCTGCAATCTGTCATACTTGTGTGTGAAAAGAATGAACAGAAAATCTGAATTTAAATTCTTTCCATATACATGCAAACAGATATGGGCACAATGAAAAGTAAAATCAGTGCCTTTTCCCCCTACTGGTTTAAAATGAGTAGCCAGATAAACATACAGGTTTATTTTCTACCCAAAACCGTGTTAAGAGTGTGCTGCAGACACATACAAAGCTCTGAATAGTTTAGCTGATTTTAAGCTTTATTTTTTCCTCTCTGAAGTTTGAGTTTGTGTTCCAATGGAAAAAGAAAACACCAAAAGGTATTTTGACTTGTGTTTAGTTTTGTTTTTCTACATCAACCTGAAGTTGCATGTTCAATGTAATGCAGGTTTTTACATTATGTTCTGCTGCCTAAAGTTCGGAATCAAGAAGGTGTATATTTTTGTTCCCCTAAAATGAACTTTAGGAACTGTAGCCATTTCCTTGCCTTAATTTAAAAGAAAAAAGTTCACATACTTTAGATAAGAAATCTAAGGCAAGATTTGACTCTTCAGAGTTGGTTTAGGGTGTTGGCATTAAGCTGCTGTGTACCTGTTGCAGCCCTTCATGTTGACATGTGTCATTTTGGAATGAGTGTCTAATGCAAGGTTCATGTGTAGTTTTACTTTCAGTATCTGTTTTGATTCCTGTCCAGGTTGCACACAACTGCAATGTATTTCTACACTGAACTGTTTGCTAAAGCAATAACAACTCAAAAGGTGTAAATTATTGACTTAAACTTTTTAAAGTTGGGGCATTAGGTAAAACAATTATGCTAGAAGAGGGGCTTCAAACCCTTTTACCCAAGGGCCATACTTAATCTTTCTCAACTCAAATCAACTAAGATCTGAACTGTTGGGAGGGATTTTACTTTTTCCTGAAACTAGCTCCGCTTCTGTAGAGCCCTCCCTGCTGCTCTGCTCTTGCTCAGTTTTTTATATCAGCACTTCAGCTATGACGGTAGCAGAGTTATAGTGCCCTGAGTGTAGTGGACCAACAAGGGAGAGTGGCACGAAAGCACAGAAGCTGGTCATACTTTGCCTCTAGTCTTGAGCCAGAGAAAACTGAAGCAAACATAAATGCTGCACATCCAGTACCGGTCTTTTTTTGTGGAAACACGTGGAGGCAGGAGAAGTTGGCCCTTTTGCTTAAGACCTCTGCTAGATTATGCTGTTGAATGTTTCCCTTGTTTTTGTTTTTTGGCATTTATGTAAAATGTACAGTATATACACCTTTACATAGCTGTGTATAGCATCATGTTTGCAACTCTGTGCCATCCTTCAGCTATTCATCTCAAAATTAGTCACAATAGCCAGAATTAAAAGGACATAAATCTGTACTATTGTGCTATAAGTGATCTAGGGCTTTTTTTTTTTTTTTAAGTGAAATCTATGCCTGTCTCAAGCATGGATCTACAAGCCCAAAAATGCCATCTTGTCTGTATACTTTTCTGTTTTAATTTATGCATAAACTGGGCAAGGGCAGACTTACCCATTAAAAAGCAACCATAAAATTTGTTAGAGGGAATACAGGTTGGAAAGGTATATTATTTCTAAGACAATTTGCGTAGTCTTTTAGGACAGGGATATTGCCCTCAAATTTTTCCTGAAAAACTAATCCTTTTCTTTAAAAGTTTTCTTGGCTGTGCATTTGCACTAATGACAATGATTCCAGCAGATCCTTCTGTTTTTAAACTGTTCCAATGGCTGTTTTTTTTTCCTTTGCTTGGGTTTTTGCCTTATTTTTGGAACTGCCTGTAGAATTTGAGTTTGTTATGTTCTGTAGGGCAGCAGTTCTGAAACTTGATTTTTTTTTCTTTTATTTTTTATTTTTTCTTCAGCTGAGGGGCATTAAAGCCTAGGAACACAAGCAGCAGTAGGAACTGCTAGTTTGCTATGATGTACTCAAGTGTCAAACATCTAGACCAAAGTCTTCAAAAAATAATGGCAAACGCCTTCAGCCTTTTTGTATCTGCCTGAAAAACTAATCTTCTAAATCATCGTTTCTATTATAACTAGCTCTGTCACTATCACTTTTTACCCTAAACCGGGCTCAATATTTAAAAGTATTTATGAACTTTAAAATTTGGAAATCCTCTTGAATATTGTAATTGGTGAATGGGAGTATGAATTCAGTTAATGTTCAGAATAAAGTAATATGCATGCCCATTGCTTTTCTAATCAGGCCCATCGTATTGTCACAAGCACTGATGCACAATATGTTTTGCTCATCAAGACTTGCTAAATTAAGTACAAACAATTACTTTCAAAGATTAGTTTTGATGATTGCTTAAAACTTTTTTTTGCCCTTCATTTAAAATTGATGTTATATATTAAAGGGAGGAAACTGTTCAAGGAAAGATCTTTTTTAAAAGAATTTTATTGCTTAATGTTATGCTAGGCAACATTCTTCCTATCTTGTTATTTTTTTCTTACATTCTCATGTGTTCAGCTTTGATCTTTCCATACTATTTTATACTTCTCCTGGAGCAAAGGCAAAGATGTTTCTGTTTAGTGACATCTAGGAAGTTGTTACAAAACGTGCTGGGAATAAGTTTTCTTAATTCATACTCCTGCTGGCTAGGTGGCTGCTTCTATGCCTGAACGCTGTGGCTTTTATATTCTCTTCCCCCCCTCCCCAAACAATCCTTTGGTGATCTACGCATCCCGCTGCCGTAGATCTAGATGCAAAGCTCATTCAAGTCCATAAGAAAGATTCATAGACCATTTTCAGTGGACCTAGAGTTGGCTCCAAATAACTGTTTTGAAGTTTTGTGGCATCACTGCATTGATTTTTCCGTTCACTGTGCAAAGTGAATAATGGTTTTAAAAATGCATGTGTTTTTTTGAAAAACCATGCAACTCAAACTGAATTATAAATGCTGCATGATATTGTTGTAATAAATATATTTGTCTAGTCATAAGACTTTTTTTCCTGCTAAAATAGATTATTGCCCCAGTGTTTTCATTCTGACTAGATTTCCAGTAGTTTATTTTCTATTTCTCCAGCCCTTATCCTTTTGCAATAGCTACCTTTCAAATGCTATCCTAATAATTTTTTTGTGGCTCAGCCTATTAGTTCTGATACTGGCAAGCATGACTGTCTAGTTGGGTGGTGAAATTCAAGGCCTACATAGCGCAGGTACTAGTGGGCAGTGAGAAGTGGACTGTGTTAGACTTCCACTTTTCCATGCATATGCCTTAATCATCTTCACTGAATGCCACCAGAATCTGCTGCTTCTTATTGCCCAAAAGTTTGTGTTTCACTGTTTAGTGAGGAAGGGCTCACTGTTTTCCTCAGGAATGACGAACTTGTTTTCTCAGCATGTCCAAATCTTACTAGTTGAAAGAGGGATTTGAATCTGGGTCATCTCCTTGATAGTGCATAGCACTTACTAAAGCCCCACGTTTACCTGGATAAATCCCTCTTCTATTTAAGCCATGTAGTTGCAGAAAATAAGCTTGCACAGAAAAGTCCATTTTCCATTTATAATCTAATTCTGGGAAAGGTAATGCAAATTCTAATTTCAGTGATCTGTGAAACCATTCAGAAGAACAAATGCAGCATTTCTAGTCTAGAACACTTTAATTTCAGTTACAGGTAAATAATTACGTAAGAAGGGGTGTTTTTTATGGAAGCAGTTTATGAATATAAGTGCAGGAGTAGGAGCCAGGCTCCTCTAATTTTGTATCAGATTTTCCACTGGGTCCACTGTGGGCCATCGGCAAGTTGCTAAAACTGTGTCTTTATTTAAAAAAAAAAAAAAGCGACAATACCTACCTACCTCACAGGGATGTTGTGAGGATTAGTTTATGCCTATAAATGCATTGAGGATCTGAAATGCTATGTAAATATTAAATATTTTAATTTTAGTTTTTTGTGAGGTGTAAGATTTACTGTAATGAAAGCAGAAGATTTTCCTAATTATAAAGCGCAGTAGGGGCAGCGGTAGTACAGTATTCCACAGGAGTGGTCCGCAGCAGTACAGTAATACTTGCTGTAAATTGTAGTTGTTTCAATTACAGCCCATTAAAATGGTGATTTCATAAATAAGATATGCTTCCTCACCAGCGTGCCTCTATTCTGGTCTAAATAGCAAGAGGATTGTTGTTTCTGTGCGTATTCAGGCTTTGGTGCCTGTGCTTGTGACTAGTGCCACTCGAGGTGGTAGGGTTTGGGGTTTTTCCCCTCTGCTAAGAGCAAGCACTGCTCCTTTCTCCCCGCCCCAGCCTGTTCTAGTCACACGAGGTCTCCTCGGTATAACCAGAGCCTAAGGATATGGATTTGATATGAAGAGGTAGGATTTCCCTCCTCACCCCATCCTCACCCCTCTAAACTTGCTTTTAACTTAAGTACATCATGTAGACCCTCTTCACGGTAAACCCTAGCCCTAATCATGAAGCACTTTGTGAAGCATGATTTGCTCTACGGCCATAAGCTCTCAGCTCCCTTTTTTTCAATATTAGGTTTACTGGGGCAACTGAGGACTAGAACATGCCTGGCCTTCTCTTCCTGGTGAATGAATGAAAGTAGTTTCTACTTTTCTATTTCTTCCTTTCCCAGTCCTACTTTCCGTGTCATCTTAAACCATTCTTTAAGAGATTTGGAAGACCCTTCCAAGCTCAAATGAAAGATACTACCCATTCAGTTGTCCAGTCAATTACAGCTTGATATTTGAAATCAATCAGATCCCTTCTAGTAGCATTCCTCAACACATCTCAATCTCCTGTTGAATTCTACTAGATTTTATAATTAGGAAAAATAAAGTACACTTTTATTTGTTCCCTTTGTGCAAACTAAGGAACCTCCGTGCAGAGAACTTGCAGTTTTAAGGCAATAAATGCTGTTACTGCTGTCAGTCAGATATGTAAATATTTTTAAAGTATAATTCAGTACTATTTTGAGCTTATAAAAATGAATAAAAAAGGCAGGGATTGAAGTGCTAGTTAATTTCAAGTATTGTTTTACTTGTACAGTTGAAGATATGAAGTTGCATAGAAATATTTCACAATTTGTTGCAATAGGACTTGGGAAATGGCTGTGTAATCGAGCCTTATCACAACCATATTTTCCATTTTGCAATGAATATTTTCTGTATTTCTAAGATCCATAAGCAGGAGGAGGATAAAATTGTTTTTCACTGAAGACTTTTGTTTTGGCCGTGTGTGTATGCATATTCTGGTTTAATATTTTTCTAAATTCTCACCTGTCGAATCCCTGAAATAGCTATGGCTCCTTATAGTAGAAACAAAAATATGAACGTTATGAAACCTCAGGCTAAACATTGTGCTCTTTTGTTACTGTGAATTAGCAGTAAAACAGTTGAAGTTAACTGGGTAACCTTAGATTTACATCAGCACTTAAGGCATGAGTTTGTCCACAACAGCAAAAAATGTGAATAGGTGTGCGGCAGGAGTATCTCACACTGGAGTAAAATAAAACAAATATTTAACAATTTCCAATAGCGGCTGTTAATGAATATATAATCAAATTACTTATTCCCCCATCCTCCCCAAAAAAAAGCTTAATGGGAATTTTTGGGTCACTGTTATTGGTGGTGTTTGTATACCCAGAAGGAATAGAAATTACTGGGTCTTGAATTGGTTGGGTAGATTTCATCTAAATGGTTTATTGTGATGTCTACCTGGAAATTTTCTCCAGACTTGTAATGTGTTCCCATGCAAGTTATATGCAGCAGTATGAGTGTGTTACTGTATGCATTTCAGAAAAGTTCAGTTACTGGCAGCAGTTCTTAACGTGCGATAATGTAATTGCATTTGGGTGAACGACAGTTCTTTTGTGCTCTTCCCCTTTTGACACAATCAAATCTTCTTTAAAAAAACAAAAACAAAAAAACAAAAAAAAAACTCTGCTGAAGTTGGCCTAAAACTACTCTACAACTATGATGGTGACAGCTTGCTATACATCTTGGTTGTATGTATCACTTGAATTTTATCGGTTACAGAAGTAAAATTATTGCAACAATATATTTATATTGGCCTGGTTTAGTTAAGTGAGTATTTTGGTGAAGGACAGAAACATTTAAGGTAATTAAGAGCAAATCCCTGAAAGCAGCTGGCAAGATGAAAAACAGCAGCGTATCCAAGAGCCTTTCATGTAGAAAATTGAACTATTTTGCTTTACCATAAATATGAGGTCTGGAATAAACTTGAATGATTTGGGTACAAAGCCTTTATTCACATTTGTTTGTTTAAGTGTATGCAAAAAATATTCATTTTTGCCTTTATGAATCTTACATTTGCTTTGGTTATATATTGTGGAGTTAGTTTTTTTTCTTCACAGTTTGCCACTTAGAGGCAAGAAGGTAGGAAATCATAACCTTCCAAGTGGAATTTGGCAGATCAACAAGAAAGTTCTAAAATGAATGGGGAGAGGAAAAGAGGAGAAGAAAGTAAAAACAGTTCTCATCCTTGATGTGGAAAAAAATCAAGCCAATCTGTAAGAAGAAAAACAAATCCGCAATGCAAGTGTTATCCCAGAATTTGTCAAGCAGTGTAATCTTAGTGCGATTAGTACATGCTGTAACTTATTCAACGCTGTTGGGGGGGAAGAGAGTGCCATTTTGGAACTGAAATGAAATTTGATATTACCAGTGTAAGTTTCATTAAATAATAAAATCATCTTTATTTAGGTAAATATTCCAGACAAAGCTACACCTCCTAAAATGCTGAAGTTGGCCATTGTGACTAACGTATCATTCATTGTTCATTCTCCATCGATACTTGAATCTCACGGAACAACAGTTTTCACCTTAATGTGCATCAGTTTGATTTTTCTGACGCTCTGTTGCCCTTGCCAATTAGAGTAAGGTAGCAGCCTTGCATGTGATGGGCTCCCCTTTTTCGTTCCCTCGGTGTCTGGCCTACCGTTCACTGTCGCAAGGGAGTGTGTGTTTCATTTGCTTTAACTTAATGCTTTGGATGATACAGCTTGGGTGTGTGGTATATTCAAACCACTTCCAATCTGTCGGTGTGCTGTTTACCGAATGAAAGTCACCACTAGACTCCAAAAAAAGTGCTGATTTGAAAGCTTTATTCCCATCTGCTGGTTGAAGTTGATCGCTTCTAGTGGTCTTTTGTTCATTCAGATGTTTGCTGTTACGCGGGGCGGGGGGGGGGGGAAGGGGGGACTAAAACAACAAAAAAGCACACTTTGGAGCCTTTGGGAAGGTCATTGAAGTCCTCTCACAAGATCAACACTACTTTGGGGGAAGCTTTTATTCTTCTGCCACTTTAAGGAAAGACTGTTCTTCTAAAGTACTTTTTGCCTGCTTTTAGGCTGTTATGCACTTTCATGATTTCTTAACAAACTACTGTTAAAAATGTACTGTAACTTGGATTTTGATAAGCGCACATGTATTTAAACAATTCACTCAGCCTCAGGAAAGCTGGAGAAATTAGATACTTGTTTTGTATCTTAGTTAAAGTGTTTGTTACCTACATCCTTTAAGATGGCCACATAATGTCTAGATCCTGTGAGTGTAACTGTATCTAAAATACGAGTATAATCTGTGAAAGAAGGGCAGTGTAATTTGAATCTAGGGACTGAGAAAATTGTGTCCTCCTTTTATTGTTCTCAGATGTATCTATAGCCTGAATTGGAGTTTCAAAACCAAAAAGAGTGATAAATCCCATTTACTGTTCAGGAAAAAATGTTTTCTTTCTTAACACTAGCCTATTTCTGTTTTCTTCCTCCTCCTTAAAAAGAGTGTGTGAAATGAGTGCAGAGGTATGTATAGGAAAAACTGTAAAAACCTGCTGCTGTACATAATATTTGCTACTTGACTGCATTTTCTGTTCCACTTTATTTTACTGGTTTTGCTAAATATATTTTATATATTTTCCTTCCTGGTTCTTGTGATGGCAGAGTGATTACATATTTGTTTGGGGGGAGGGGGAGCAAAGACAAACACAACAAGGCTCTGGCCAAGGAACTGCATCAAGTTTGTAAGTTAGCCTGTATCTCATGGTTGTCCTGGAAAGAGCTTCCATCGCTCCAGCCACATTTTTGGGGAGAACGGCATATAGTATGGTCAATAGATATAAAAATGTGCAATGGTATAGATACCGGTAATTTTGTTCCGTTTTTCAAAAATGACTTCTAAAATCCATTTAGAATGTCGGTGCCATTAGTTTTTCCCCAGTGGTCACTTTTAAGTAGAGCATTTTTCAGTCTGAAGTCTTGTAGACCTCTTTGTGGTCCCTGAAATATTTACAAAGTATCCACAAAGCCTGACAAAAGAGAGAGAAGGCGGTGTAATAACGTACCACTGTGATGTTTCTAATACAATTTGCATCTTCAGTAGGAAAAGAGTTGGGCATCCACAGAGTCGTTAAAGATGAAGTCTACTACTCCACTTACATTTGGAGACTGAATTTGAGTCAGAGACCTGCCTGAAAGGCTTTAAAATGCTGCCTGATGATCTGTGCTACAGCGTGACCTGAGTTCTTGGGAAGCTGTGATGCATACAGCCCATGTAACGACCTGGCTGGGCTCTGATGGATGTTTTACTCTGCATTTGTATTGGAGGAACGCAGTATTGAAAGCAAAAGTACAGTGGGCTTTCCTTACACAGTTGAGATGATAGAGGTTGTTGTGTAAATACAGTGTTTCATGTTATTTTCCATCTTTTTCAGAAGTAGGACTATGTTGACATTCACTAGACATGATCCTTGTAACGGCTGTGAAGTGTTGCATGCTTGGCTGTCTTCCAAGTGAAACTTGCAGTTGGTCTGCCAGTCCTAA